ATGTGATTGGATGAGAATGCAAATAATTTCTGAGGCAAAAATAACAACGGACTATCCCGATTTTATTAGACTATACTCTCCGAAACTACTGAACTGGTTGTTGTCAAATTTTGTATGTATGTTAAGAATATAGGAATATCATGTGGATGGTAAAAGAGTAACCAAAATTTTACAGCAGTAAAGGTTATTTAAATTTTATAAAATAACGTACTATTCCATTTGTGGTTTATGAATTTTGGGAGTTTCTTTATTCTTCAATTTTTGAATTTTTCAACATTTCGATTTTCAATTTTTTAATTTCTCGATTTTCAATTTTTCGATATATTGGTGTTGAGATTTTTCACTTTTTCAATTTTTGATTCATCAATTTTTCTTTAATTTTCAAATTTTTCAATATTTCAGTTTTGAGATTTTTCAATATTTCGATTCTTCAATTTTTCCTCGATTTTTCAATTTTTCGATATTTTAGTTTCGGAATTTTTTAATATTTCGATTTTTCAATTTTCCAAATTTTCGATTTTTAGATTCCATAATAATATAATTAACAATTACAATGTATCATTATTTTTCTATTTCTCAACTCTCTACGTTTTCAATTTGTCAATTTTTCAATTTTTTGATATTTCGATTTCTTGACCTTTCGATTTTTCGACTTCTCGGCTTTAGACTTTTCGGTTTTTCAATTTTTCGATTTTTAAAATATTAGGTTTTTTGATTTTTCGATTTTTCTGTTTTTAAATTTCTTAACTTTTCAGTTTCTCGATTTTTCAATCTTTTAATTACTCGATCTGTCGAGATTTCAAAGTTTAGATTATTGAGCTTTTTGATTTTTTAAATTTTTGATTTTTCGATTGATCGAGTTTTTTGAAAAAATAGAATACATTTTCAATTCTTAACTTTCCCATTTTTTGACTTCTCGACTTTCAATTTCTCGATTTCTCAATCTTTTGATATTTCGTTTTTCAATGTTTCCCTTGTTCAATTTATCGATGTGTAAATTTTTGCATTTTTCGACTTTTTGGCTTTTCTATTTTTCGATTTTCCAATTTTACCGTGTTCCTATTATTTAAGTTTTTGATTTTCCCATTTTATGTCAATTTAGTTTTGGAATTTTTCAATTTCCCGATTTTTCAGTTATCGATCCATACTTATTTTCCCAGTTTAAAATGTTTCGCTTTATTAAATTTCGATTTTCCGGTTTTTCGACTTTTGAATTTTCAATTTTTCTATTTTTCGATATTTTAGTTTCGGGATTTTTAACATTTCGATTCTTGAATTTTTGGTTTTTCGACTTTTGAATTTATTAATAATAATGTTTATTAATGCCTTAATGACAATATATCACTATTTTTCGGTTTTTCTACTTTATGCCTGTTGAATTTTTCAATTTTAATTTCTCGATTTACCGGGATTTCAAAGTTTAGATTTTTGGCTTTTTTGATTTTTCAAATTTTCGATTATTGTTAAATAATCGAGTTTTCTGAAAAATTAAAATATTTCTTCAATTATGAACTTTTTCATTTTTTTGACTTCTCGACTTTCAATTGTTCGATTTCCCAATCATTCGGGCTTTTCGATTTTTCTATTTTCCAATTTTACGATGTTCCAATTATTACATTTTTCGATTTTCCAATTTTTTTCTCGTTTCATTTTTGGAATTTTTCGGAGTCTCGATTTTTCAATTTTTCGATTCATTTTTCGATTTTTCGATTTTTAAATTTTGAATTTTTCGAGTTCTCGGCTTTTCGTATCTTCAATTTGCGACTTTTCAATTTTTCGATATTTTACATTCGGAATTTTTTTAATATATTTCGATCCTTCAACTTTTTGGTTTTTACTTTTCGATTGAGTAATAATAATATTTATTAGTGCCTTAATTATAATCTATTAATCTATCATTATTTTTCGATTTCTCAACTTCCTACGTTTTCGATTTTTCAATTTTCGATTTCTCGACCTTTCGATTTTTCCACTTCTCGGCTTTAGATTTTTTGGTTTTTCAATTTTCCGATTTTTAAAATTTTTAATTCGATTCGCCAATTTTTATAGTTTTAAATTTCTTGATTTCTCAGTTTCCCCATTTTTCAATTTTTTAATTCCTTGATTTACCGTGACGTCAAAGTTTAGATTTTTGGATTTTTCGATTTTTCAAATTTTCGACTTTTTGATTGATCGGGTTTTTTGAAAATTTAAAATAATTTTTCAATATTATAAATTTTCTATATTTTGACTTCTCGACTTCCAATTTCTTGATTTCTCGATATTTTGATGATTCGTTTCTCGATATTTCACTTATTCAATTTTTGCGATGTGTCGATTTTTGGATTTTTCGACTTTTCGGTTTTTCAATTTTCGAATTTTTTTGTCATTTCAGTTTTGGAATGTTTCAGTTTCCCGATTTTTCAGTTTTTCGATTCATATTTTTCAATTTTTCGATTTTTTAAATTTTGGATTTTTCGAATTCTCTGTTTTGCGATTGTTTGATTTTCCGGTTTTCCACTTTTCAATTTTCGGTTTTTCAGTTTTTCGATGTTTTATTTTCGGGATTTTTTAATATTTTGATTCTTCAATTTTTCGGTTTTTCAACTTTTCGATGAAATAAAAATGTTTATTAGTGCCTTAATTACAATATATCATTATTTTTCGATTTTTCAACTTTTTACGCTTTCGCTTTTAGGATTTTTAGTTTCTCAATTTATCGAGATTTCAAAGTTTAGATTTTTGGATTTTTCGAAAGATCGAGTTTTTAACTTTTCCATTTTTTGACTTCTCAACTTTCAATTTCTCGATTGATCTTTTGCTATTTCGTTTCTCCATGTTTCACTTTTTTTGAATTTTCGATTTTTCGATTTTTCAATTTTACGATGTTCCGGTAAATCAATTTTTCGATTTTTCAATTTTTTATCATTTCAGTTTTGAAATTTTTTAGTTTCCCGATTTTGCAGTTTTTCGATTCATATTTTCGATTTTTCGTTTTTTTTTATTTTGAATTTTTCGGCTTCTTGGTGTTTTGATTTTCCCATTTTCCAGCTTTTTGACTTGTCAATTTTTGATTTTTCTATTTTTCGATATTTTAGTTTCGGGATTTTTTAGTTTTAGATTTAATAATAATAATGTTTATTAGTGCCTTAATAACAATATATCATTATTTTTCTATTTTTCAACTTAATTATGCAATTTTTCGATTCTAAATTTTACATTTTTAAATTTTTCTATTTTTTGATGTTTTGATTCTCGACCTTTCAATTTTTGCTTTAGATTTTTCGGTTTTTCAATTTTTCTATTTTTAAATTTTAATTTTTCAGTTTTTCGATTTCTCAATTTTTCAATTTATCGATTTGCTGAGATTTCAAAGTACAGATTTTGGATTTTTCAAATTTTAGATTCTCCAATTATACGATGTTCGGATTATTCAATTTTTCAATTCATGTTTCCAATTTTTCAATTGTACGATTTTTCAAATTTTGGATTTTTCGATTTTTCAGTTTTCCGGCTTTTCGACTTTTCAGTTTTTCGATTTTTAAATGTTTCAATGTTTTGATCGCTCGATTTTAAAATTTTTCGATATATTAATTTTAAAATTTTTCAAATTTTAGATTTTTGAGATTTCTCAATTTTTTAAGTTTCCGATTTTTCAATTTTTCGTTATTTTATTTTTTTTAATGTTTCGATTGCAGGATCTCCCAATTTTTCAACTTTTCGGTTTTTCGATTTTTCGATTTTTCAATTGTTCAATTTTTTAAAATTTTGATTTTTCGATTTTTCACACTTTAGGAGTGAGAGACGTTCTACGGAAATAACCTTCGACTATTTTTTTTTTTAATTTCTTATACAGGGTAACAAGAAATTAATTAATGAGTAAATTTGTTTTATTGATTAAATTGACACATACTCATGATTTCGCAAAAAAAAAAAATTGTAAAGGAGAAACTTCACATTTTATTGTTTTATAATTTTTCGGAAAAGCTGGATGTTTTATTGTAGTTCAGGGGTGAGGGAAGTTCTGTCGAAATAACTAACTAACTTACACTGTCTTGACTATATTTGGTCTGGCGCGGAGTGCCGAGAAATCGGGTGAACGGGCAAACACTTTCTCCAAAAATATGAATGCATTGATAAAGCCCAAGACTATATTTTTATCTTACGTATCATGTCATATACAGAGTGTATGAGATGTTTTCATTACGACGCTCTATAAATTTACCCTAAACCGCAGCCTGTGTTACCGTAAAGTAGATAAACGTATTGTTTTTTACTATTAATCTCAATTACCCATTTATACGTTAAATAAAAGTAGTTATTAATTTGGAAAACGCACCCACATTTCCTTTGACAGACACTGTAAACACGAACTGACTTTAACAAAAAATACACAACATCATCGGAATAGCGACACATATAATCAGATTAACTGTATACAAGGAAGGATTTTCATCATAGATTACACAGATTGAATTGGACACATTTGTGGTTATTCAAATGCATCATCAGGGGAAACGCAAAATACACAACGGTCTTGAATGTACAAACACTATTGTCGCTCTATGTAATTACTAATTTGACGTTTGTGATCACAATTAAATTAATTAGAATCGTATTACTATTCCTCGTACGTTTAAGAAAATTTATTTAGCAGAGTTTGATGTCAAACAGAGTTATAATAAAACAATGGCGTACTCGTGATTTCATAATATTATTTAGTTTCATAGCGCGATCTAGAGAAGCCATTTCAGACCGGAACTGGATGTTCAGCGGTTTTATTCGACGTAGGGGGTAACTGCATCTTGCCTCGTGCCAATAATTGTAGCCTCGTGTGCATAAATACTGTCTCTGGAAAGCGTTGTACTCGATGTGGATTGCTTTCGACACGCAGAACAAAACGATTACCCAGTTACAAAGAAAAAAAAATTTTTTTCCTCGTAAGATAGTGCTCCACTGAGTTTATGACTGTGTTAGGCCCGAAATTAGGCACGACATAAGCAGATTTCTTTTTGTTCCAGTACATTGGGACCCAAGTACTCGGCTTTATATTTGGATTGGCCGGTTCAGCTGTTCTCCTAGATAATAGCGCCAGAGACTCCCATTTCCAGCCGAGGATCCGGGAAAGTATGCGACGTCTTATCATAAATGCCCATCATGAGGAATCACGAAAGTCCCTTGCCGAGATTCAGGAAGGAGTAAGTATTCGATTGATCGTATCTCTGTCCAGACGGGCGTCAATTAAGCCTTTAATAAAATAACGGTTGTTTTTAAAAGGTGAAGTTGGATCTCGTAAGTGAACTTCATTTAGCTTCTCTGGGGGTTTTAGGTAGAGCAAACAGGGTCTTCCGGTATATCACACACTGTCAGAAGCCTAAGCCGTAGATAAATATTGGTTCTTGTCGGATATTGTGACAGGGATGGTAAAGCTGTTTTTTGTGTGTGTCTGAAAAAAGGAATTCCGCTCAAGTCTTCCAATACAAATATCGTCGTTATTATAACGCACTTGCTTGCTTTAAGGTTTAAATTTCGGTTGGCTTGAATAAGGATTCTCAAATAAAACGTCGTAGGGAATTTATACACCGATATTTTATTTACATCTTCTTACGTTTTTACATTTCTCCCAACTTTTCCTTTTTCTTTAATTTAATGCAAATAAAACTCCCTCGCAGGTACAATTTCCACCAGAACACACATAATTAACTTGTTATAGTTAAGATCTACCGGAATTTCGCTCCGCAAACTTTTCCACTGACCTTTCCCCTTTATTTTCAAAGGAAACACACTCGAGCCCGACTGGGACAGATTCCCATAAACATTGACATTAAAGCGAACGATTACTGAAAAATTCCTTGCATGCAACCATCGCGCTGAAATAATCATCGCAACCCCTACGCCAGCTGGAAGGTTTATAAATTTATTAGACCGCAGTATTTGAGCTCCTGATAAAGAAACTTACCACAGCTTCCGCGCGAATTTCCACTCATTAACCTCACTGCTTGCTTATACTCTGTTTGAGGTAATATGTTCAATTACGTACCTAATGTGTAAACAAGGACCACTAAATAAATATCACCCCGGAGAGGAAACCTGCATCTAAATCTCAATTTGCTGAATAACCGCCGGGATATACATTATCCACGTGTACATTTTGCAGTGCAACCACAAAATTGACGTCTAAAGCACGCCCCAGTCGCCAAAGATAGTTAACACTGTTAATGTTGGGGTTTACCTGCCAAAAGTCGATCCAGTTAGGGTTACACTGTATTAAGAATGATGACACGGATTCATAACAATTATAATAAACAATTACGAAAAGAACTTACAGGAATTAATGGTAATAACTACATAAAGAAATTGGCGCCTTCTACGGCGACGGTTGCTCAGGCGCCAGGGCGCTCTTCTGAAAGGAATCAGGGGTACTGTAGCTGGAAAAACGGCTTTCTAGTCCAAGGTCCAAAGACTAAATTCGGTTCTCCCAGCGTTGGCGCGGCGCGGTTGTCACGAAAACCTCCGTCCATCGGTACCCTAGTTACGATTTCATCACAAATTTTTTGATCTTGGTTGTAATAATATGCAATAACGACTCTACAAGAGACAAACCAGCTGCTAATTATTATCAGTTCAATTTAATTCTTTGTCCTGAATCATAGAAACAATGGACTCGAAGAAACTGATCACTAGCAGGAATTTTTCTCCATTGTCGTCGCACCACTGTCACCTGCAGTTCCCTTCGCCCACTCTTTCAATCCCGCCGATGTGTAAAAGACGTTAAAGCAAGCAAATGGTCTGTACGGCGTGTTTAGACAGATTTATTTAATGTCAAGAGCGTGTCGATGCGTTCTTTTCATCTCTCTTGTACCGCCTCTGCAAATGCTCGATTCAATATCGTCTCTTAAGGTTATTACCTTTCCAATCAGTGTTCAACTTGGGCTTGATGAGGTTTAAATTGCATTAGAATACCTATTTTGGGGGAGCAGACAACGTTATGGCTGCTAATTGAAAAAAAGCAATATCCATACATCAACGCTCCGCTGATAAGTTTCCGCGCTGTTAAAGACTAAGGGTTGTCTGCTAAAAATGGCAAAGTTTTCGCAATTATGGTTGTTTTACTCTTGCGAAATATCGATCCAGGAATGAATTGCAGCAATCTGGACTTGTTGACAGATCGCCTGCTGCGGTGCTGACGGTGCAAGCGATTACTTGTCCTTGAAGCAACCACTTCCCAACGAGTGCAGGGACACCGTCACGGGAAATCCTTTCTACCACGGATGCGTCGACGAGCTCACATGGTTCTTCGAACAGAAGTGCGCCTGGGTTGCCGGACTTGCCATGACCGTGTGCTTCTTCCACGTAAGTCATTTAGTCTAGACTAGAGTTTGAAATTTACTTTTTTTGGGGAAATATAATAATAACAATAAGTAATGCTGTAATTGGCGCCTTCTACGGGGCCGGTTGCTCGGGCGCCAGTCCCCTCTCCTGTGTTAGAGTTGACCTCATGAAGACGAAATTCTTTTTGACAAGTAAGTGTTGATCTCGGCGCTATTAAATTATCTCAATGGAAAGTTTGGCGGGATCGTGGATCGGCGACGTGTTCGGCGACATAATGGTGAAGTGTTGATCACCTGCGAAAAAATTTATCTCGAAGAGCGATTTCTTTGTTAGTCTTGGATTTATGTCCGTTTTTATCTGCTCGCTACACAATCCTGAAAACTTTATATACTTCAAGTGATTAATTGACGGGATTAAGAATTGTCGTGGAAACTATTCTGTGTGGAAGCGAGAGACTTGTTGAGAATTCGAATATGTTTATATTGGAAAAAATCGCAACAGTCCTTGTGCGTCCGTCTCTGCTTTACGGAGCGTGGCTAAACCGCGAAGAGAGAGACGGAGGGCTTTCTGAACGAAACCCGACGCGGAAACTTTATTGATCTGTGCCTGTATTCGTGTTAAACATACACGTAGTTACATGTTAATTTCTGTGAGCTTTAATCTCCTCTTTAATCTCCAACGAGCTTTTTTCAAGAATGAACTTTATAATTATTGGCGTTTCCCTATTCGCTTGTTATTAGCGTTATAATTACGGTGCTAGCTTATATGTCATAATTTATCTACAAGCAATTTGCTTGTTAATTGTCCGACAACTTCCAATTAACGACAAATTAAAAATAATAATGGAGGTTTCGGGAACACTATAATTGTTGTTTAACCCGATGCGAATCCAATTATGCAAAATAAGAACAAACGGTTATTACTGCGCTCAACTTAATGATTTAATAATGATCATTATGATTATTAATATAGATTGACATCTAATAGCACGCGGGACATTGCAGGCAGGTCATCCATTAGTCGATATCACGACTAACGGGAAAATAATAATACTAATGATTTTCGATTATATGTAGAGTAATTTGTAGGGAAATAAATCGGCTGGAGCCCGCGCCCGCACACAAAGAATGGATTGTTAAAATTTTCATGGGCTGTTCCTGAAAAGAACCCAAACGTGTGTGACGAAAGTGGGCGGTCTCGGGGGTATAAAAGTGGCTGGTAAATTTAAACGAGATGCGTGATAAGGGATTTAAATAACCACCAAACCACCACATGTTTAACCACCAAGCTTCAGTTACCACAATCAGCAAATTGTGTAGATGGCTTCGAAAGATAACGTCACCAGCACATCGAGAACCAGGTATACAAAATGACAACAAATGGGCCCTCAACCTGCTGTACGAAACAAATTCAATATAGACAGTCGACCCGAAAAGAATAATCCCTCCAGCGGGCATTTAACTCCGACACACCCCTGAATTACTTGCTACTTGCTGTATTCGGTACCAGAATGTCTACTTCAGTTAACCTTAATATAATTTGTCAAATGTCACTTTAGTTTGAATCCATTGTAGTTACATGTCTGCATATCCATTATAGAGCATTGCCATTTTTAAACCATGGAAGGAATCATGGCTCTACCATCAATGTTCTTGTCTCATGTATGTCAAACGTGGCTCGGGTAAACTGAAACCTTTACAATCTGAATGGTAGAAGCACAAAAGCCGGTTCTATCCAGAATTCCAAAGGCTAAAGACAACTAGGACAGCTCTGCGCTATTATTGTAATATCTTCGATAATGTTTTTCCGCTATTTACTAAAGTATTTATCATCTTTAAGTTTCACGACGTGCAAAACTTCCTATAGTGTTTGTTAAATATGACTACGAAATCGTCGCAATCAGCGAATTACGATGCCCTCTATAGACGAAGCCGTCCGATGATTAATTGCTGCGGAAGTTTTTTGGGGTTTATTGGTAATATCCACAGCCAATAACCGCATTCAAACAAATAGACAACTATTTGCTACCAAGACCGTAAAATTTATGACCACGAAAACATTTCGAATAAGCGATAACTTAAGGTAATATCGGTGGTGCAACATTATTGTCTCGGCTTGCCTCTCGCATTCAATTCATTTCATAAATTTCCCATAATATTGATTTAGTGTCCGACGTCTATGTAGACAATATCGTCAAGTAATATCCGCCTTGAGCATGGATTCCTTGATTAAAGCACGTAAGGGATATACATTACAGGATATCCAGAAATCGCTACATTCTGATCTTTTAAGGCATTCCCTTCCAACAATCTTATCATACACCGCAAGGAATCCGCAATGCATTTATCCTAAACCTTTTATCCTATGTTAACGAAACGAACTTGATTAAATTCCACTGATTCTACTTCGCAAACATCACTATCTCGTTACATCAAAATTTTACACGTAAAAGCGCTATCCTGTTTGTAAATTTTTGGTAAAAATGTATTTTCTCGCAAAGCTTTAACGAGTTCGCAAAGCGGGCTTAAAATACTGTTGTAAGTTTGCAAATATCGAATAATGGACGTTTTTCGGGGATTTTGTGTCAATCTGTGTCAGCTAGAGTATGATTCGGTCAACCAGAAAATTATCTGCTGTGTGTTTTATGGACACCGGAAAATAAGAAAGAGAGTAAATATGGTTTGTTGAAGTTTGTCAGTATAACATGTAACTTAACCACAGCAGTTAGGCATTCCTAATACCCAGTGCTCAAGTATAAAGGTAGTCATGAATCTAACTTTTGATATAATACATATAAACTGTTGTTATTGATTAGTCAAACCCCAAATTTATTTCACTGGATTCGTTCGATTTTTGCAGAAAAAAGTTTACCTTTTATTTTTTCTTTACTATCTATGTAACATTTTTTTTACATTTTTAATTACTTCAAAAACATGAAAAGGGATCTCCAAGATTCTTTTAAACTAGTTCTAAACCTAGATAACAGCGGTCCTTGATATTCTTTCAAATTACAAGGTATCCCCGAGATTGGTTCAAACTACTTCAAAAACCAGACACAAGAGGTTCTCACGATTCTTTCACAGTACTTCAAAATTAAAACAAAAGTGGTTGCCGAGATTTTTTCAAACTACTTCAAACACAAGACACAAGAGGTTTCCGAAATTCTTTAAAACTACCTCAAAAACCAGATACAAGAGGTCCTCGACACTTTTTCAAACCACTTCAAGTACCAGATACAAAAGGTCTCCGAGATTCTTTCAAATTAAGTACTTTAAAACAAAACTCAAGGGATCTCCAAGACTCTTTCAAATTACTTGAAGAACAAGACACAAGTGGCCCTCGAGATTCTTTCAAATTGCTTCAAGAACAGTTCACAGAAAGATTTCCGAGATTCTTTCAGATTACTTCAAAAAACAGACACAAGAGGTTTTCACGATTCTTTCAAAGTACTTCAAAATCAAAACAAAAGTGGTTGCCGAGATTCTTTCATACTGTTTCAAAAACGAGGCACAAGAGCTCCCCGAAATGCTTAAAACTACTTCAAAAACCAGACGCATGGGATTCCCGAGATTCTTTCACACTACTCCAAAAACATGACCAGGATCCCTAGGATTATTTCTTGCACACTGCGATCAGAATAAAGCTGAAAAACAGGTGTAAAATGCGAGCGCAGCGAGCACGTTCAGGTGTAGTTTAAAAAATTATTTAGTGGTAACCCCGACAAGCTAAATTATGAAGAATATTTCCATTATTTAAAAGTGTGAGTTTAAAAATTATTTCTGGGTCAAATGGGATTTTCAAGGGACGGTCTAAATTTTTCCTGCGCCGGTTCAGAAGGTCCCGTTTTGAAATTCTTTCAAATTACTTCAAAAATATCACAAGGGATCCTCAAGATTCCCCCGAACTACTTAAAAAAGAAGACACAAATGTTCTCCTAGATTCTTTTAAAATAGTTTAAAACCAAGACAAGGAATCCCCGAGATTCTTTTAAACTACTAAACCAGACACAAGAGCTTCTCGAGATTCTTTCAAACGGCTTCAAAAGCCAGACAAAGTCCCCGAGATTCTTTCAAACTACTTCAAAAGCTGAACAAAAGTGGTCCACGAGATTCTTTCAAACTACTTCAAAAACCGAACACAAGAACTCTCCGAGATTCTTTCAAACTACTTCAAAAACTAGACACAAGGGTTCCCTCAGATTCTTTCAAACTACTTCAAAAACCGAACACAAAAGCTCTTCGAGATTCTTTCAAACTTCTGCAAAACCAGACAAAAGGGATTCCCGAGATTCTTTCAAACTACTTCAAAAACATGACAAGGATCCCCAAGATTATTTCTTGCACACTTCGATCAGAATAAAGTTGAAAAACAAGTTTAAAATGCGTGCGCAGCGAGCACGTTCAGGTGTACTTTAAAAAATTATTTAGTGGTAACCCCGACAAGCTAAATTATGAATAATATTTCTGTTATTTAAAAATGTGAGTTTAAACATTATTTCTGGCTCAAATGGAATTTTCAAGGGTCGGTCGAAATTTTTCCCGCACCGGTTCAGAAGGTCCTGTTTATGGAACTATGAAATTCTTTCAAATTACTTCAAAAATATCACAAGGGATCCTCAAGAGTCCTCCGAACTACTTAAAAACGAAGACACAAATGTTCTCCTAGATTCTTTTAAAATAGTTTAAAGACAAGACAATGGATCCTCGAGATTCTTTTAAACTACTAAACCAGACACAAGAGCTTCTCGAGATTCTTTCAAACTACTTCAAAAACTAGACACTATAGGTTCCAGAGATTCTTTCACACTATGTACTTCAGAGACATGACAAGGATCCCAAAGATTATTTCACACTACTTCAAAAATAAAATAAAAGAAGTCCCCGAGGTTGTTTTAAACTACTAAAAAACCAAACAAAAGGGATCATCGAGATTCTTTCAAAATATTTCAAAAACCGGACAAGAGATCTCTAAAATTCTTTCAAACTACTTCGAAAACAAAACAAGAGCTCCCGAGATTCTTT